CCTCATAGGCACCCATGTTCTTGTGACTCTAAAGAATAGCCCAGTAAGTAGCTCATTTGCATAATAGGTCTGTCCTTGAAACCGATGGAGTCTAGACAGTAGCATTATTTCGATGTGGTTTACTTTGTCACCTCTGAGGGTTTGCGAAATGAATGGGAAGCCTTTTCTCTTGTCCACACAACCCTTTTACTCTCTTCCGGTGGCTAAAGCCCTTGTCGTAGGCTCAAAAAAAAAAAAAGTTTGTTTCTTAAACATGTGTTATCGGTGGCTAAAGCCCTTGTCGTAGGCTCAAAAAAAAGTTTTTTTCTTAAACATGTGTTACACTCTCCAGGTATTGAAAGAGTTTACATTTGAAAGGCACTAGCTGTAGATGTCAGGGCTTCTAGAGACAGATGGAAGGAAGCCAGTCCATTTAGGACTGTGGAAAACCAGACAGTTCCACCCTCCCCGTAGGTGGTCACTGTTTCTCACATTCCTCTTTGAAGGCGCAGGTATTTTGTCACTTGTTCTGAAAGGACTCTGGGGCCCCTGCAGGACCTCTTCTGAAACATGGCAGTGTGCTCTAGACTTCAGTTAAACCTTTGGGTTTACCTTGAGCCACGGTACCGTCCCTAAGACTCGTGTCCTGAGCATCATGGTGAGCACTGACCTTTCCAGTGTCCCCCGTCCTCACAGTCCAGAGGAGCTGTCTTTGTTGGCTGCGGGGCTGTCTCAGGGCTGCTTCCTCTGCTTCCTCCTTTCCTCCTGCTCACACTTGTCTCTGTGATTTAGGCTCCGCACTCTACTCAGCCAACAGCCAACTTTCTAGTGGGTTTCCCTTGCTCAGATGGTGTTCCCCATATGTGGCCTGTGTGTCCGTAAACCGTGCTGAAAGTGGCCTCCATTCAGTTTCCACTCACGTTAGCTCTTCGTTGAGGCCCATTCCCCCTCCGCCCCTTTGAAGCCTTTCCTGACCTTTTTTTTTTAGGTTTTTCCTTTTCTCTCCTTATTTGACTCTCTGGACCTTCGAGTTTTGCTCATCCTGCTTGGCCGAGCCTTGTTCAGCTTCCTGGATTAGAACCTGCAGGGGACACTCTTGCTTGAGGCGCCGCCCGCTCCAGGGCAGCCAGGCCTTGCCAAAGAGCTAGGAGCTATGAAGCTGGGTCTGGAGTCGATGGGCCCTGTTGCTCATTCTGGAGAGGTGGCTCATGGCCTTTGAAAAGATGTTGTTTGGTCAGATAACACTTGTGAAAGGCCAGAAGACTTGGTGATAGTTAATTCATCTCCCTATAAGTTCCTGGACTGAGTTTTTCTAAAGGATGTACCCGATACCAGTAGATGGATTTAATTTCCCTAGGAATAAGGAGTCTGGGCATTCCAACCCTCTTCTGAGGATCTCAGAGTCACCTAGTCCGGCTCCCTCAATTTGCCGAAGAGAAGACTAAACTCTGTGTCACACGGGAACTCATGTCATAGCTGGGACCTGAACCCAGGTCCCCTCATCTCCAGTGAAATTTCTTTTCTACTAGCCACTTTTTTGGAACTGTATTTGTTTTCTATACACAGAATTTTTAAACATTTTTAAAAAGAGAAGATGAAAGAAAAAATGTTAGATAATCGAAGGCAAAGATAGTCTTTCAAACTAGCACGTGGAATTCCTCGTCCCCGTGTCCTGTGGCTGAGGGAAGGCTCAGCTCTTTGAGGAAGGTGGTGTCCTTAGGACAAGTGCTGCAGGAATGTGTGGCTCAGGGTCTCCGTGAACAGGAGCCCACTCACCTCAGACTACTGTCACTTTTTTGTTCTTGTCCCTCCCTATGCCTCACTCTTGTTATAGAAGCCAAATGGCCTCTTTTTTATTTTTCTCTTTTAATTAAGACCTTTTCCTTATAATTATCTTGCAGATGGGGAAAAGGTGAACATGAGAAATATGCGGCATAAATTTATAGTTTATTTTTTTATAAGAGTCGTGTGTTTGTGCCAGATGTGGGGACCCTTAAGGTGAGAGAGGCCAGGTGGATTTGACATAAACAGATGTGAAGTGGTTAATGCTGACTTTTGAGAGAAAGGGGGAAAAGGAGGGAATTTTATCTTTTATTGCGGTCGCTCTTAAAGCTTAATTTATTTTTTTGAAGCTGTCAATTTAGAAGTGAAAACTTTGGCCTCTTTAAACAGTGTAATTTCTTAGCTAGCACTGATATTTGAGGATAATTGTCGATGTGTCCGTAGTTAGCTAAATTTGGTGATTTGCAGCTTTTTTCCCCCTTGAATCTTTAATAAATACTTGAGGGTGTATGCATAAGTGTGAGTTCTCTCCAGGTAAATGCCTGAGTCAAAAACGGTTTTACCTATGAGGTCTAACTTTTAAATTTATGTAGTGATGTTAAATCTCCTTGTAACTTGGTCCAGTTTCCAAATTTTAAAGTCAAGTGAGCTGAAACTGACTAGTAAGAAAGACGAATCTATTCTGTCTTAAGGGAACAATACTGATATGGTTTTATTTCTCCACTGTGAGGTCAAAATAGAGACTTCTTTGAAGTGAGAGAAATTCTGGCATTTCTACCAATTTCGGGTTGGACTTTTTGGTTTTCATTGGGTACGTAAAACTTCCTGATTACGGAACTTCAAAATCTGTCATGCTATGCGATGGCCCAGGTTTATATTTCATTTGTTCTATTCAGAAATAATTGCTGCTACCTCATTTGGGTCTTTTAAATCCAGAGTCAGCTCTGACTCCAAGCTCAATTGGCTTCTCCTCCTGTTCTCATTGCTCTTGTTAGATTCTCATCCTCCTCTTAGTAACATGATATAATGTTTATTGCACTTAACTCGGTGCCAGTCATGAAGCAAAGGCATTATCATCTCATTTTAGACTCATGATGGTAGATACTATTGTCATCTCCACTTTACAGATAGCAAGGCTGGGACTTGAGAGTAGTTAAGTACCTCTCAAGGCTAGAACATGATGGCCTTGGACCTGGAAGACAAGTTTATCTGGACTCCGAAGCCCAAGCCCTCACCCAGTGGGCAAGACTGCCTCGGTTCCTTGGGGAGGTCATGCGAACTTGGATAGGCCTGAACGCCATTGCTAGGTTCACGTTTCTGACCTGGACAGATCTGCATTGGAATTTGAGCTCTGCCCCTTAGTAGCTGTGTGATCTTGGGTGAATTATTTCAATCCTCTAAACCGTCTTCATTCAGAAGTTGTATGTGAAATCTGATGATAAATCCACTTTTGGTACACAAGAGAGGAAGGAGACTGTCAGTAGTTATTTTGCTTATTACTGATACAGTAGCTTGACTTCTGTACTATAATTTTTGGTGTGCGAAGTTACCTGTTTTTAAACAGTCTTCTGGAATTCTGAGCCCTGGTCAGCTCAGTCTGGAGTGGCATGGCCATGGTGCCTCTGTTGTTGGCACCTCTGTGTGTTCATCACTTTCTGGGGCTCCTCAAAACATATCTGGAGGCTCCTGGGTGTGTTAGTGGCTTTTTTTTTTGCAAGTAAGTCATGGAGTTAGTCCTGGCCTTCGGAAGTTTGAAGGGGCCCAGCAAATAACATGCCTCTTCTCTGCTTAACCTCCACATGAGAGGAGAGATTGGCAGGATAGGCAGATGGAGACTGAGGCATCACCTTTGTTATTAATATGGCTGATTTTGGAGACAAACTAAAGGAAATGCGAATAGAAGATTGCAGAGAGAAGGGAGTCTTAGGAGAAAGGATGGAGAACAGGAAGCTTAGATAGAGGCAAAAAAAATGGAGGAGGAAAAGATTGCAGCCATGATTCTCCCTATGAGAAGAGGATTTTGGAAGAGGGTGTCTGGTCTCTGGTCTCTGTCTCGTTTGTACCTTCAAGGAAAATCGGAAAGGGAGCTGCTGAAGGTCACAAAGCTTCTGTTGGCCAGCAGGTTCGAAACTCAGATGTGTCTGCTCCTGTACCAGCCCCAGAACCACGCTTGGTGGAGGGCTACTTGGTGAGAGAAGAAAATGGAAAGATTGTATTTTGGAAAGCTAGCTGGAGTCTTTGAAAATCATCATGTATGTTATATTTAGAAGCTTCTTCAGTTAAATATTTTTACATGGCTTTTAAAATGTCATATGACAGTTGATATTTCCTTGGTGTGTGTATATATATATATATATGTATATGTGTATGTGTACATATACATGTATATATGTATTTATGCACATGCATGTATATATCTGTATATATATACATTTATATATAACATTTTTATATTTTATGTCTTTAAGTATGCTTACATATTATTAGAGCTTATTTTTGTAAGATTTTTAAATTTTTTATTATTTTTTAATTGAAGAAATGATTTTAATTCCCTCCTTCTACTTCCCCCTTTCCCTGTCCCCTAGAGCTTATGTTTTTTATGTGTCTTCTTTCCATGCTTTTTGGTATGTTAATTGGTAGCTTTTGATGCTGAAGGAAAACAAAATCATAATAATGATTAACAATTGCTGAAATTATATGCAATGGTTATCCTACCATGTCCTACCATGTGAAATTTTATGTGATGGTTATCCTTAAAAATATAGATCTGGTTATGGTTTCAGCCTTCAGGAACAACCCTGGCCATGCACCCATCTTTTCCCTGTTATAAGTCTTAAGAAATTTAGTGGCCAAAGCTTTCTCTGTCTCCAGCTCCTCTCTCCCACCCTCACTCCCATCCAACATACTTGTATGTCTTTTCTTGATTCGAGGTTTATGAAGATAGTCATGTTATCTGAATTTCTCCAGAAATGAAGTCTATTAAAAATTAGATTCATCCACATTTTTGTCTGAATGCTTACAGAATCTGTACATTTGATATAAAGGTATATTAACCATAATCTAAGAGTATCTTAAATTTTTGCAACTGTAGAATTATATTAGACTGCCAGTAATTCAATGTTAGTGTTTAAAATCTAGTTCAGACTCATCTATGAGGGAATAAAATTGTATCTCATAACTTAACATTCAAAATTTAAAACGACAACAGAAGTTAATCTCTCTCTTTTTTTCTTTTTTAGCTTCTCAGACAAACTATTTAGTGGAAATGGCTTACATTTTCAGCCATCAGTTCTAGATTTTGGAATTCAGTAAGTATCTTTTATTTATAATTTTTAAGAACTTATTTGCATTATTGGCTTTTAGGATATCTTTTATATATATATGATGTTAAGTACTTTTAAAGTGTATTAATCATAGCAAGTGATATTGATCTTGGGACTTGTTAAAAGGAATATTTATGTGGAATGGAAGGTGTAAGAATTGTTTTAGTCCTTTCTTTAGTTTTTAATAAATATACCTTATAATAATTTATAATGACTAGAATTTAATAAGAAGTCAATATTAAGTCCTTGTTTTTCTGAAACAAATCAGATTATTTTATAAAGAAAACCTAAAATATTGATGGTTTTTCAGTTTTTTAAGTTAGATTCATTTACTGACTGGTTTTAACTTCTCACTATGCTTCAGGATTCAAAATTGCACTGTGCAGACATTAGTTATTATAATTAAGACTTCGGAAACAAGTTAAGTGGAGAAGACAGCACGTAAGCTGTAATTACTTACAGTTCTTACATCATGTTAAGAACTATGAGGTGAAGGGAATGTGATCTGAGTGTCAGTTGAGGGACTAACCTGGGAACTCAGAGAAATTAAGGAAGAGAAGGGCGAAGCTGTGCAGAAGAGGAAACTTGAGGACTCTTGTTGCTGTGATGATGTTTGAAATTTAGTGTCTAACTCCCTCGGTGCAGAATATTGCCACATTGAACAGATGTAATCTCAAAACAGCAGTTTCAAGGGTGAAAGTTAAAGGAGTGTTTCAGGTGTAAAAACTTGGTTTGCTCTAGCAGCCTGGACCATCACTTCAGTTTTACAAAGAGCTTCGTTGAGTTACAAGAAAAGTTATGTGAATAAAATAACCACGGTGTTGGGAGAGCACCGGGCCGGGTTGGTGGTGGTCCCCATGGTGTGCCCTCCCGTATTCATCTGCATAGCCAGCCGCCTTTCCATTTTCTTCTGATCATCAAAAGTTAGCTCTGAAGTGAGAGAGAGTGAATTTTCAATTTACAAGGACCTTGTTGAGCTTTTCAAAAAGATTCTGTGAAAGGAAGAAGAGACAAAAGTGTGAAGGGAGATTGCTGACTTTACAGGAGTCTATGTGCCTGCTTTCTGATTTATGAATTGTTATATTTTTACTCTTAGGTAAAGTAACTTTTTTAGATGCTAAATTTATAGTAAAACCTCACAGATTTCAAATTCTGAGAGAGCACTTTGCTTTTGTGAGAAGTCTTTATTGTAAAAAGAAATTTTAATTCAGGACGTATTACTGATCGGTAGATGTAATAAGGTGGATAGTATTAAGTACAATTAGATTAGGATAACAATTCCAGGTCATAGAGCTCTAGCTGTGTATGATATATTTTCTTTTCAGTAACATAAAAATCCTGTGATCAGTGCACATGGATTTATGTATATATTAGCTTTATATGTTAATTTGCTTATATAGATATCAATTGTTGGTCTTGATGGCTGGAAGCATGTTGAAAAAATATTTAAAGTCTTTGATTTGGAAAGGTTGCTAACTTTTAGACTTGAGCCACCTTTGCATGGTTCAGTTATGTTTATGTAGGACTTCTGTAGTTCTCAAAGTACAGTCATGTCTCTTGTCATTTGAGTGTTAAATCCGAGTGTGTGTATGTTTGCGTGCGTGCATGTGTGTTCAGGCATGTACTAAAATGTGTTTATACATTTGTTGCAGAGGAGTAATGCAGTTTGATCAAGGACATTTTACTAGAAGTGACAGAATAAATCTTCTAATTTCTAAGCCAGCACATACCATGCTATTTTTTTTTCTTGTGAGTAAAATCTATCTAGAATATAAATCGGGAAATAAATTGTTTTTCCTGAAAATTTTAAAATCTCAGTAAGAAGAAACAGTAGTTTAAATTAGAATACTTTAAAAATGTTTTTTTACCTTACTTCTGATAATTGACATAATTTATAGGCATTAGATTAAAACTTTAGACAGTTTTCCTGATTCTTCATTGCCCTATTTCAGCTTTTGCTATTTATTTTGATGTCGACTTTTTGGCCAACTCCATCCCTTTCATAACTTTGATTTCTTTCTAGGGTGCAGAATCAGGGTCATACTGTCAAGTTGTTCTCCGCCTACTTATTAGAGTTTATATTAGGGTTAATATTCTGCTGGTCCTGAGATTAAAAGTGCTCATCATTCATAAGAGATTTTAATCATTCTTTCGTAGTATTAAATTAATAGAGCATCTTCCAGTTGTCACTAGTGAAGGAAATTCTTATCCTCATAACATTTTTAAAAATAGAATTAAAAAAAAAAATAGAATAAAAATAGCGCAGTGGTGACTAGGTTTCAGCCAGCATTCTCTGTCAGGTCTGGTGAGGTTTCTGGTGGATGCAGTCCTTGGGCTTTGTTGCATTGCCTCTTTGTAGCCTTATTTTCTAATGTGTTTCTCTGAGAGATATTTGTATCTTTTGAAATGAAAAATCTTTGATTCCAGCTGTGCGAATTGGGATATAAAGCTCTGAAGATAAATATTAATAACTTTGCCGATTGATTCATGCTATTTACTGAAAATCATGGAATTGTCCTTTTTATTTAATTTAATTCAGAGAAAAGATAAATGTAGACCTGGTACTCTTAGGTAGGGCTTTCTGAGGTGACCCTTTATGCTTATGGGAGTGTAAGAAAATGTTAGTTGTATAATCTAAGAGCACACTAAAAAAAAACAAGATTTTAGTCTCACTGATTTGTATTTTACTTGTAACTGGCTGTAAAAGACTTATTTTTTAAAATACACATTGGACATATTAAACCTATTAAGACCTGTGATTAAAACTAGAAAGAAAAGCTAGAAGAAGAATCCCAAGGATTTGCTGGTGATAAATATAGTATTTTTGAAATCTCATTGTGTATAAAAGAAACAACATTTCATTTTTCTAAAAGCACACATCTCTAATATCAGAGAAATTGGAATAAAATCAGAAAAATACAAGCATAATATAGATGAGTTTTTTGCCAGATTTAGAATATAGTGTTTTTTCTGGGGCTTACTGAGAACTGCATATTTGGGTCTCTGCCACTGAGGGCATTAAAACTGGAGAAATGACTTCAGTGAAATGTTTGCAGACTTTCTGTTTATCGCAACATAGTTTAACTAGAGTGAATTTGGTATTGGGCAGCAGGACTCAGAGGTGAAGGTTTAGAGGGAACATTGCAGGTAGCTCCAGGTAAGTGGGCTAGAGACCAGCTCTTTTTCTCTTACAGTTCCTTTGTCAGGGCAGCCTTGTAGGTGAGAAAGTCAGCATTAAGGTCTTTAGGGTACTTGCTGTCAAGCAGAGATTCTTAATCTGAGGTTCAGGGAGTTTTGAAATTCCGTGTAAATTTTTGTGTGTGCATGTTTGTGGAGGAAGGAGCCAAACCTTCATCAGTGTTCAGAAAGACTCATGATTTAAATGGATAAGAACCACTGCTAGAAAGTGATGCAGGGTTTTCATTTTTCTTAGAAGAATGGTTTTTTAGCAACAATTAAGTTTTCGTTTTATAAGATTTAATGAAGTCTCTTTGCAAGTTGAAATTCATTCCCCGCAAAAGAAATGGATTTTTCTACGAGTAGTTTCCTGTCTAAACATATTTTCATTTGATTTAGAGTCCCAAGTTGGACAAGTACCTTGTTCCCACTGTGTGTTTTTTGCAAGCATTTAATGGGGCCTAGATGGGTTGAATTCTTCTAACACAAAAACCAGTGGGGTGCTAATGTGGGTTGGCATAAGTTTTATAAAAGAAAGGATTTTTTTTCACACTTGTGGATTCAATGTTTTATTAATAACAGAATTTTGATATTTGTTGCCTTTAACTTTATAATGAATATCAACAACTTCCTTGGTTTAAGGAACACATATGGATGGATGGAAGGATGGATGGATGGATGGATGGATGGATAGTTATATTTATCACCACACAATTGCTTTTTCTCCTTGTTCCTCTCCTAGGTTCCTGGGACACCCTGCAGCCAAGATTCTCTATGTTTATAACCCTAGTAGGGAGAGCGAGGTCGTGGTGAATTCAGTGTTTACAGCCGCTAGGCATTTTCACGTGCCTCCCGTCCACTGCAGAGTAAGTGTTGATGGACTCGTGGACACTGTGCCATGGCGTGCCGCCAGGGTGTCTCGCTTCCTCTGGCCTGACGTTTTTCCTTTCTGCTCCGTCTCCCCTTTTTCTGCTACCCAAACTCTGTCCTTCTGTGTGTTTGCTTTAGCATTTATTTTTTCAGTTGTTCATCCTTACAGTTTTGGGGGTTTTGATATCCCCAAGAAAAAAAAAGTTTAAAGAGTCTAAACTGGGTAGTAATGGATCTATAGTTAATGTGACTTTTTCATCAGTAAAGGGCTACAGGGGGGATTTCCAGTGACGTGGCCTCCTCCCTTCCTGAGCTCAGGAACATTTGTCATCAGGGAACATGATTTTCATGCTTGGGTGCCTGTCTTCAGAGAGCTCACTCTTCATATCAAGGCACTAGAAGGGGGAGAGTGAGGTATCTTTTTGGTGTTGTTCACAAAAATAATTAAGAATCTTTATCTCAAGTTGTACCAGCGACATATTTAAGAGAACATGGCACGAAGTAATTTAAGTGCCAAGATATGTCTGGCCATTCTTGTGGTTAATTCTTACTGTCTGTTAAACACAGTATCAGAAAATTTGTTTTGAAAATGACTACAAACGCTGAAGCATTTAGTAACTAATCCAAGTTTCAGTGGATGTACCATGATCTCTTCACCTGGCGAACCTACTAATATAGTTAGAACTGCTTTCTAAGTGTAGGACTAAGAGGTAATGAATGGCTTCTTATAAAGCTAATTTGTCCTGGAACAGACGTCAAGACCCCAGTCTTCTAATAGTTTTAATTTCAGTGGTCTTTAACTTTTAATGAAGTTCCCAGTTACTAGTGGGTGTTATTTACATATTTAGCTCCTTTATTTCTACCCGATGCACTTAAAAAAAAATACTGGGACCACGGAAATGGTGTAAGGGGAGCCCAATATTTTCTTTATGATAGTCTCTCTGTATAAACACTGTCCCTGACTTCTGTTATCAACATACTTGTCCATCGATGGCTCCCTTCATGTAAGCAGAGCTGGGACTGTGTCAGTGAGAGGCGTTAAACATGGGGGTGTAGAAGGAGGGGAGAAAGAAGATGCGAGGCACGTGGGTCTGATCCGAAGTCGGGGGACTCGGCAATATCTCGCTTAAGTCCGTGCTATATTACTTGAAATTTTCTTAGATTGTTGGCTGTTGATCCG